ACAAATATTTAAAAATATATAAATAAAAAGAAAGTAAACACTGTAACCAACAGGGCACTCTGTAATCTGAGAAGTTTGTGTGCTTTGGGAATCATATTTTTTCAACTAAAGCCAAGGTAACACTCATTTTACATGCAGCACGCAGTAAAAATGACATGAATATGACAGTGCGCAAATGCATAAATCAGCATAGTTTGAAATAACGAGTTTAAAATTGATCACGCGACTCCAGTGAAGCTGAACTCTCCTCCTGTCCAGATTCAATTCGCATGGATCGACTGTCACGCAGAGCACACACGATCAGGCAATATACAAATGCACACTTCACAAGATCTCACAGCTGGATTCGACTAAGTCTGCAAGGTTTGTGAAATTAAATGTTCATTAGTCATTTAAAGGTTTGTTTAAATGATATGCGTATTTGCTGAATGCTGACGGCAAACGAGAAAGTATTATGTCTGCCTTTCTGTTACTAATAATATAAAAGCAATCGTTATAATACTTTTTGTATACCTTTTAATTAATTTGTTCAACAGTTCTATCTGATTATTAGACAGACTTCTATCTGTATTAGGCAGAACTGTTAAACGACGACAACAAACAATGAAGAGGGAGAATGTGAGCACTGTGTGCCCTGGCGCTGCTGTTAAGCACCGTCAAAATAAAAGTCCCGCCTCGAACACATCGGCCAGGCAGAAAAACTTATCGGCCGATGCCGATATTTGAAAAAATGCCAAATATCGGCCTTGGCGATATATCGGTCGACCACTAATCCTAGATGTATATGACTTTCTTCTTTCAGACGAATCCAGTCTGTTATATAAAAAATTGTCTTTGATCTTTCAAGCTGTTTAATGCCACTTCAGCGTTGCGCATAAATCTAAATATAAAATTAGAACGTTCGCCTTGTGAAAAAAGTCCAAAGTGATGCTTTGCCTATAGGCAAGCACCACTAATAAAAAAAGAATGTTACTTCCTGCATTTAGGCTGCATTTATATGCTCAAAAATACAGTAAAAACTAATACTGTAAAATAGTATAACTCAAAATAAATGTTCTATTGTAATAGATTTTAAAATTTCATTTATTCCTGTGATGCAAAGCTGAATTTTCAGCATCATTATTCCAGTCTTCTGTGTCACATGATCCATCAGTAATCATTCTAATATGCTGATTTGCTGCTCAAGACATCTCTTATTATTATCAATGTTGAAAACAGATACTTAATAATTCATATTTATGCAGAAACCATTATATACTACCATTCAAATGGTTGGGGTATGTGAGTGTGTGTTTTTAATAGAAATGAATGCTTTTATTCAGCAAATATGCAAACTGATCAACAGTGACAGTAAAAACATTTATAATGTTACACAAGATTCTATTTCAAATAAATACTGTTCTTTTGGACTTTCTATTTATCAAAGAATACTAAAAAAATTTCCACAAAATATTAAGATCATATTAAAATTCACTTTCCCCAGTGTTTTTTGCTGACAATAGTTACCAACTGGCCTAATGTTCCCCTTCTTACCCCCTAGACCTTTAATAGCCAAAAAAGGGTCTTAACAACTAAAAATAATTTAAAAATCATGTTTCCAAACTTTTGACAAGTACTACTGTATAACTTATGTAATAGTGCTTTATGTTATAAACTCACCAATTCCATAAAGTGCAATCCTGGTGTTTCCTTTCTGCAGAAGAACTGGACTGATCTCAAGTTTCTCCACTGAACGACTGCGGCCAAAATGATTGATCAGACCAGCACAGCTCAACAGGTCTATAGCACAAAGGCCATCAGCCTGGAACACACATACAAAACCAAACATAAAAACTGTGAAAATAATAACGTACCACCATGAGATAACAACATGAATTTAAGACAGTTGCTTTCAGGAAATATTTATATTCCAGAATGGTTAAGGGAATAAGTGTGCTACCTACGCAGCATTATTCACAGCTTTCAGCTGCATATTTAGTTTTTGTGGGGAGCTGCCACTTACTGCATTCAGAAAGAGATTAGAGCAAACAAGAATACATACATCCAATTATAGGACCTAAAAACTGCATATAATAACCTAGAACACTCTCTAAGACTTGATGGCTGCTCTGTCAATTCTTCGTCATCAGTTAGGAACCTAGGTGTGCTACCACGTCATGCTACACTTCATTTATAAGTTAATAAATCTCAACAGGGCTAATGGAGGTTATGTATCCATTTTTAATTAGTTTTTATTTATTTTTTTTTATTTTTTTTTGAGTGATTGTCTTAAGGTATTTGTATTGCAAAGCCACCATTTTTTAATCACAGGGGCTGTCATAGCCCTTTTTTGTTGTTGTTGCTCTTGTTGTTATACATATGTTTATGAAAACCTCAATATCTCAGCTCAGAATGATCCAAGCTCCTTTGGAAAAAAGATCTCTAAAGCACATTTAAAGGTAAAAGGTACTTTGAGGAATTTGGGGAATTCTGTACCACATGTCTCTAGGATTTAAACCAGTGTAAAGGCAGATGAAAAGCACTGACATGGAAAACAGGATAAATTACACTGATATTGAACATTATTGCTGTACATTATTAATACAGCACTGCATGAAATGTATTAAAACAGTAAATTAATATACATACAGTGCCTTGCGAATATTCATACCCCTTCATTTTTTCCACATTTTGTTATGGAAAAACACATATAAACTGCTGGCAGGTCAGTGGCAGTCCACATGGTGCGGAACTTAATCCGTTTCCATTCATGGCCGTGAATAAATCTTCACTATACATTATTACTATACATTACATTCTGTAATCGTAAGGTTTGTGTTTTGTTCTTTTCGATAAGAAACA